ACCTCTTATTGCCACAAATCTTTCAAACGTGGCAAAATTGCCGACATAATGTAAAAAACGGAAAAGTGCTTGTTTAGTTCGATGCAAGGATGACTGAGGGCAGATAGTTAATAACTTAACAGTGAATCTAGGGTTTCGAGTCGATCATAATATTAAGTATGCAAGAATAGGAGGACAGATAGAGTCATGCTCTCACCCACCCAAGATGGATCTTTTAAATCGATCTCAATTCAGCAAAGTGGACAACTTCTGGCCCCAATAAAGAAAGGATGGGAGACAAACGAGAAAATCAGACTCATCATTGCTTGATGCACTAATTAGAAATATTATGGGCTAACCAGTGTAAACGCTGCCATGGTATCAGAATTCATCCAAAAAAATAATTAGCATATCTAGAGGAAACGAAATAATGATAGGTCTGGATATTAGGTTGTGGATATTGTCGTTACGTATATATTCTTTTATTTTACGGGTGTTCACTACCCTGTCTAAGTTATGATATCTTTCTTTTATAAGTAGGCTTTCCAGACACTACTACATCTCATATATTAGTTTTGATGTCTGAAGCCTGAGCGAAATTGGAACTCTCATTGAAGTTGTATGACCTTGTTTTCGCGACTTTGTCATAATGGTAGGAAGACCTAAATGAACCCACCTAATCCGGATTCCATAGTATGCATGATAATTTTCAATCGGACTATGGACGTGGTACATTCCCAAACGTTTCGCTGGCATCGTCATTGAGCCCTGCCATTCTTAGCACCAGACAACAACTCGTCAAAGAGACAAGTGAAGCCGATCCTTTGACTAATTGTCTGCTAAACAACTTATATGCAGCGAAAATAGACTGCAACCATACAAAAGGTCACAACATCTTGGTCTCCATACCTTCGATTAGAAATCTCATGTTTGGGATGGTTTAGAGATTCTTCATTTTAATTTTCCTAACGCTCTAGCAAGCTGACAATTCTTTGCCTCAACTTTTACCTCTCCATACTAGAATCCAGTACAATTTCGCGAATACCGAAAATATAGTTTATGAGAAAATCCCCATTACCCTAACGTTTAAATTGCCTACTTTTATCATTTAACTAGAAGTCATCCTAAAACGTTGTTTGCTTAGCCGAGATAAGACTGGCTACTTCCTTCTTTCCAGCCATCGACTGATTGATACCAAAACAAACCAAGCATCAAATGATTTGAAGTGGAAAAGATGGCCTATGTATTTGGCGGAAAATGTAATTTGGCCTGCTGCAACTACGTATACTTATAAGAGATAAATTTTATCCATAAGAACTAAGTCAGACTAGGTCTATAAGGAAGATTCATGGACTGACTGGAGATTTTCCCCCAACAAAATGTTTGGTACTAATGACGCCACTGAATTTTACGTAACCTTGCCTTCTAAAATGGTTTCCTATCCAGGCTGGACTGCAGTTTCGACCTCGCTTTTGTCACAACAATGCTCCCAAAGGAGTTCAAAATCGGGCCATTCGCATCGTGGTGATGCTACACCTCAGAATCACGGGTACCAATAGGTTGGTTATGCTGGCAAATATGTATTTGCCTCAGCGATAATCACACTAAAGATGGGATTCGGGAGAGCTATGACTTGTCTTGAATTTCATATCTGTCCCGAGACACTCTGGCACCTGTAGATATGAGTGATAACACATCGTCACAATGTGAAACCTGTTGGAAGTGCTGTTGAAACAGGAACGAGGTAGAAGCCGCCTGGTTAAGAAAGCGTTTGTGAGGCTGGGTCGAACGAAATTCATTGACATAATTAGGCCTATACATTTTATTGTGGGAAAGCCCCAATTATCAGTCGTTAAATCACCTTAAGCGACCAAGAGCGATTAAGTACTTATACCTAGCTTTCTATAGTTTTCCTGTGCTGTCTGGTCCCTTATTATAAACCAAGATCTCAATTATATATAATCGGAGATATGAAGAACAAGATGGTGTAGGTCACCGTTTTCTTTCGTTCTATATAAGTTGTTTGAGCCAGTTTTCACAACTCGGTAATATTGGTAGGAAGACTTAGAGAAAGGCGCCTAATCCGGAGTCCATTCTACGCATGATAATTTTCAGTCTGACCATGGACGTGGTACATTCCCAGATGTCTCGCAGGCATCGTCTGTGAGTCATCCCATTCTTAGCACCATACTACAACTCGTCAAAGAGACAAGTGAAGCCGATCCTTTGACCTATTGTGTGCTAAACAGCTGTGGTATATCCTCGTACCACGCCTTCACTATCACTATTTTTCCTTGCTTATTTAAATATTGTGGTTTACCCTTTTGAGCGGCTTTCATGAGGGCCCTCCACATTGGCGTCCTTATCACCCTTCACCCTTGTGCTGGGAATGTTGTTGTTACGCAGTCCTCCTTCCCTATGTCTTACCACAGTCTCCCTCTTGCCCCATATAATCCATCTGCTATCTCCCTTGTTAAAGTATTTCATACGGCCCATGCCACCCCATCTGTGCTACTGGAGGCATTATTACCCATCGCATGCGTCTGTGACTAATTTGAGGCTAAAGCCTCTGAGTAAGTCCCATGGTCAAGCCTTTGCTACATTGACCACGTTTTTGATAAAACAGGCCTACTGTCAGTCAACTTACTCTAGTTTCCGCCACGTCTATCCTACTTCTATCTGTCTCTTGTGTGCCAACCCTTAAATGTTGTGGTACTGTTTGCTTTGATTAGGTTCAATGTTGAGTAACGACGATACGTATGACCCGGTATCGACTCCCACTTGGAGGTGCTAATGATACATAAGCGAGGGCGGAACTACAATCCATTCTAAATGAGATATCCTTTTTGGAAGCAAGGCTAGGTAAACTTAGACGGTCTACTCATGTCGTTAAGGTAAAACTCAACTATACCCTATTGAATCACCTAGTGATTAAAATTATCATTTTAATGTTTTGAAATATAGTGCTTCAAGGTTTACTCTTGATAAGGATACTGACGGGCCAAAAACTCAGTGAACTTACTTTTTGGGCAAGTATAACAAAACCTGTCCGTCCGAAATATCACCAAGCAGATGGACAATAACTGATATCTTCATATTTGTATTTTATATAAAGTAATGAATCCAAGAAATATAGATCTGAAGGATGAAATGTAGACTTGTAATTGTACAAACCGTGGGTAATTTCTGAAACATTTGTGAAAAATTCAAATAAATACGCCCTCCTTCAAATGTTTTTATGCTGATTTAGGCTTTGAATTTCTGCCTTACAGGGAAATACTTTAGAGGTAACAAATATATTCATGCCTTGGGTAGAATATTTACACAAGAAACTTTATGAAGGATAATGCACACCTGTGGTGCAACCGTAGTCCCAGAAGACTGGATGTAAGTGTATCAGCCTTTTTTATATGGATCCAGTATATTTAGCCTCATAAATCCATTTGGCTGATAGGTGAGATCAACCTAGATTCATTGATGAGAAACTAACTATTTTATTCCGGTGAAAATTTCGCCGATAACAGTGTGAGTTAGCAAAGGAAGCCCTAATGGAAAAAAGTCGGACTCAGAAGAATTCCTTAAAAGATTGATGCTGACATACATCCAATCTCGTTTGAAGAAGCGAGTGAAAAAGATTGGTTAGGTAGACGAAGATGACATTGGAGTGATTAATTTAGATTTGTCCGATTAGGTCATCGGCACGTCTAGATGAATCAGTGTAGAATTCTCGTTTGCCATCTGACAGACAAAATTAAAACAGAAAACCGAGAACACACTTAAAGTTACAAGAGATTCGGTGAGTTGCAATCTCAAATATTTGTTGTAGGGGTTGATAAATCTTATTAAAGCACGGCTTCCCGCTGAGATGATGTTACATAGAAGGGTAGAAACAAATATAGATTGATCAGGGTGCCAGAGGACTTTTTCGCCCAGATATACAACCATGGCATCAAGGCACCCTTCCGGCCTCCAGTAAGACTAGCCTATAGAAACATCCTACACGCCTCCCGAAGAGACACTTAATGGAATGTATCTTCCAAAGGGTAGATTTAAGCCGAAAGATGTTCGAGAGTTCGACCAGTTGAATCTTAATTGCGTCATTTTCTAGCTATATTGTATGTCATCTGAGACTAAGCAAATCTATCGAAAACCAAAAGCCTGGCAGATAGTATTCAAGCTCAAATACGGAATATTTCATACAAAATGGCCACAAAGATTTAAGCAGCAAAATTATAGACTCACGCTTAATGACCTATCGGGCCTAACAAGCCCAAGACCAGGTCACTTCGCTTGACCGGGGCTGAAATTTTAGCAAGTCTCAATCGCAACCCTAGAGTCAAGGTATTCTCAAACTGTCTCAAATTAAAATGCATCCACGAAGCATAAGCATTAGGAGCCCAAAATCGAGATGCACGTCGTTTTCTGGATAAAAGGCTACCCGTGTGGAACCTAAAAGAAAGCAAAAGCAGTCTTAACTTAAATAAAACGGTCCAATGATACTTGGTATTGGGCAAACTCAAAATTTAGCCAGAGCCCAATATCTCGATAGGAGAATGACTTAAGGAATACAAGAAAGCACATATCCAAATTTAAGAATTATCCTGGACATAAAATATTTTTTAGTGTAATTCCTGCCTAGTCTTCCTAGTATCCAGATGGAAGGCACTGAGAAATCGCTTCTTTTTATATTAATATGGAATACAATAGAATCGATTAATAACTTGGAAGTCATGTTGGGCTAAATCCATAAGCGTCTATGAACATACCAGAAGGTCGAAACAACTCCCAAGATTCCTAAAGGTGCTCAACGGCCAAAAAACAACAGTTCTGCATCTAATGTTTAAGTTGCATCCATAATTAATGAGCATTGAAGAACAAGGCGGTGAAAATATGAAGCCGACTTAAGACCAAGGGTGCGTTTAGGAAAAAAGAAATTTGTTACTATATTTCTGTGGTATATAATCCGATCTCAAAAGCATAGATAATTTAAAATATTTCGCCAATAGTTGACTCACGCGACATCAACTATTTAATCTATGTTTTTGAACATCAGAAATGTGCACAAGTTTGCTTTCTGCCGTTTCTGACTGTGGTTCACAACGCGACAAATGTTCTAGGTTACTAATTATTTCCTCAGGAGTGAGGACGGCACGTCCTGAATCTGTATGGGTCATAAATGGATGCCAGATTCCCTGGATCGAAGGCGACTTAGTAGACCATTTTTTGTAAATTGGCATTATATCATAACCTGATCGTGTAAGAAGATGGTTAATCCAGGAAGCAAGCTCGGCCTTCTCCATTTTTGCTGCTCTAACGTATTGAATATTTCCATTTACTATCAAAGTATATAATACTAAGTTTGCACATACAATATTCG